TAATTTAGTACTTATATATATTTTTTAAAGGATTTACAATTGGGGTAAAATATTCGAAACCAAAACCAAATCCTATGGCTAGGATAATACATCTTATAATTAATTTTAAAACTGTTGGATCAGGAGACTTAAGTACAATTTAGTAATTTTATATAATAAATAATAATTAAAATTTTTTAATTTAAATAAAATAATTAAAAAAATTTATATATAAACTGTTTTAATTATTATTTATTTATTATATGAAATTATTTGAAACTTTATTTAAAAATCAAATTAAAATAATTAAATCGATGGCAGATGGTAATTTCTAGTAAACAAGTTTGAGCTCAAAATTATGTCTGAGTCTCAAGTCAATTCTAGACAAAGTTATTGAACTTCGAAGTTTCTAACAGAATTCATCATCTTGAATCAGCAAGGTCTGAATTTTCCATGGTACCAACAGCAGCAATTGCTTTGCCGTCCACTCCACCTGCACCCTCACCTGTCTCTGCCTCCATCACTTCCCCCCTAAACTTCTTGTAAATATCACTTCTGCAAAACGATCTCTTCCGAAACCCCAAACCCAACGAAACAAGACCTCCAAAAAAACGTAGCGGCCGAAATTATTACAAAACCCAATCTGTAACGCCTCACCCCAGTGCAGTTCAACTCCTCCCCTGCTTTCATTGTAAGACCAAAATCCCCCATCTGCTTCCTCGTTTCCCGGTAACTCTCACGTTGAATATGTACGACCAAACCGGACTTGAAATCGAGCCGACGTTGTACATTATAGAGTAGTGTTTCAGACCAAACAGTTCGGATATGATTGCACAGAGCACCGGCAGTTGCGCTCCGAGACAGAACCCTGTCATCATGGACGCAAAGTAAAGGGATTTTCATAGACGAGCCCTGGTAGCTAGGATTCCGAGGTTGCCGCCTAAGTCCTTAAAGAAACTTAGCAAATTCAGGGTGGTTTGATCGTACCCCAATGAGGATTTTATTTCATTGGAGTATAGACCAAACATGCAGCCTGAACCGTTGACGGATATAATCCAGAGTATTCCAAAAACCATGAACATTCTGCAGGCCGGAAGTACGTGGCAGACAAAGGTTTTCGTCTGCGGCCACCTAACGCCGCCATTTCGTGCGGAGAGAGGCATTTTCCCACGGCAAAAGGTGCAGATCAGCCCCTAAACTCAACAACTGGTGGCAAATCACCCCTTCAACCCACTTCACGCGCAAATCAGCCCCTCAACTCCCCTGCAGTGGCAAATCAGCCCTTCTCTTAACATTTCCGTTAACATTTAACATTTCGTTCATCAGTCCTTCCTCTGTGTCTGACGTGGCCATTTTTGGCTGAGATGGATGCTAAGGTGGAGGCACACCTGGACAAATCACTTAAAATTAGTAGATTAGACAAAAATTACTTTTATTTGCGTTTGGTTTCACTTGGGAGGCTGATTTGCCACCGTTCAATCATAAAAACTGAAATTACAATTTTACCGCTTAACCCTTCTCTCCCTCAATGCTCAAGCAGAAGCAGTGACACCACTTCGACTCTTTCTCTTCACCTCTCTCTCCTCTCTCCTCCCTCCTCCTCCCCCTTTCTCCTCCTCTTCCTCCTTTATTTTTTGGTTTAGAGAAGGGTTATGTGAGAAACCACCAAAGAATCCATCAAATTGTCTCTGGTTTCCTCTGGGTCTGGGTTCTCCGGTGATTCTCCACTTGGGGCCGGACGAGAGATAATGGAGGAGGAAGAAGAAGATGATGACAAAGAATTTCATTTATGTAATTTCTTGAATCTTTGAGTGAAAAACTTGATTTTAGAAGATGGGTACGTAGGAAAGTGAGGTAAGAAAAGCTTGGAAATGGAGGATGGGGGGTTCGGTTTTGTGCAAATTTGTTTTGTAATTTGGTGTCTAGGTATATACGAGAAATGGTAAAACAGAGTGAAGGTAGTACCCAACCCCAACAGGAGGGTAATTTCAGTTTCAATTCCTCAATGTACGAGGATATTTTGATTTAAGACTATTACAATTTTTGCATATGTTGTTTGATTTCAAAATGGATTTCTCTTGGATTTTCACAGTGATAACGTCGGAGAAACAGAGAAGGATACCGGAAGCCGGGCCACAGAGATGATGCCGAAAAAGATTTATGTGATCGTAATCAAATTTAATTAAAAGTTAATTAATGTTACGAAAATGATATGATTAGGCAGTGTAATTTCCAATTATGAGGAGATGTTATAAGATTAATATGATTAAGGGCATGATTGGAGTTATTAAGTAGGATAGGGGTTGTAACTGTGTTAAATTGTATTATATCATGATTTTAATAAAAAATTATTTTAATATTTAGTTATTTATTATTTTAAAATATTAT